GAAACCTTACCATTGATTTCTAGTGTTTGGCGGTCGGTGGGTATCATTACGTCAACATCTTTCAACGGTCTAAGACTCTCTCTGTAAGCCTACGTCAGTTCTTGGTGGTGAAACTGGGTACCACAACACCATGGTAGCCATGAGGTCTGAGGCAAACATAGTCTGCTGATGTCACATCATCGGTTGCTCGGTCATCTCCCAACCACAACTCAGCCTGATAGAAATGGCATGAATGACAATAAATCAACAAATTCATCATGTGAACTTTGTCCAGCATTATAACTGAGTCAGTCACAAGTCAAAGTCACGTGTAGGGATGAACAATGACAAAGGAATGTCTTTCCTATAGCTGAATTGAATAGTCTGTGACGTCACTTGAGACAGGATGACTAGTCGTTGATTCAATACAATTCTCTGTGACTGACTCCGTTGCAATTCTGTTTTATAGTATGGTTCATTGTCGTATACTTTTACTGTCTTTCTTATTGAAGAAAGCAACTTACCAGTCGTTTATAAAGGGCTGCTTTGGCTCTGAATGCAGAAGACCACGGATTGATGTACACTGGCCGGTATGTCTCAGTCAACAATGTGATCACGACAGTAAGACTAAGAGCAAAACTACGTCGGTCTGAAAAAGAAAGTACAACAGGGTTAGATAAAGGAGATTTAGGCTGTGTCGTAGTCGAGGAACTTGCGACAGGTCACAAGTATCTTCACATCAGGGAATGAACAATAACAAAGCAATGTCTTTGTCACCGTTCATTTGAATAGCTTGTGACTTGACTAGATGAATTGTGTTCTCAATTGTGATAGACTTGTGATGACTTAACTAAACCACTGGGAATGATCTAACGGTTGACTATAAAAAACCTTCATTCATCAATGAGATTTTTAAATTTAGTTTTGAGGCTGAAACATGCAGAGAGACTGCATGGGGAGGCTCACGTTATGTTATCCACATGTAAGGGGGGGGGGGGAGTTTTCGATGAGTTTATGAGAGGCCATATAAGCATGCTCAGATGAAGTTCTTACAGAGTGAGATCAATAAATCCTCAGCCTACCAATGCAGGACTTGCTGTCTCCCTCCGTTCCTTCAGGACAAGATCCGCAAGTGAAATTCAAAGACGGTGGGTCATCATCAAAACACGCCACTCCAAGGAAGCAGGGGTTGTCTTGACAAGCGACGTACTTCACCTGACAGAAGTCACCTGACCAGCCAGGTGTGCACATCACCTGGAAATCAAGACAAGACGTTTGAGTCAAACTCATAAATTTTCTGAAATTTGGGCATGTCGGACTATAAATTAAAGTCTTGTTCTTGTTTGGTTCTGAAGTTTAACTCTTTTAAAAGTGTAGCCGTTTTTGTTAAAATCATGTTGGATTGAATAAAACGCAATGTCAATGACCTCAGCTAGCTGCAAGCAAAAGATTACCAAGGGTCGTTGTTTGTTTGTTTGGCTTGAGACAGAATTCTTGTCTCCAGTCAAGTCAAGGCCACTCCTTTTCCAGTCGTCACATTGGCAAGCGATCAAGGCATGAAGGATGAATGTTGCGAATAATATTGTTATTGGGAGGGGAAAAAAGGTGCTTATGAAGTTTTAACAATGTTTAGTCTAAGACATGTTTAAGCCTTATTTTTTACTTATTTTGAAACAGGAAAAAACAATCGGTGGTCAAAATGCGTATTCTAGCTTGTCAATTGACTTAAACCTGATAAGTCATTTACTTTCGCTACTTGATGTTTCTTATAAATAATCATGGTTCTGAATCAGAACTTCTGATAACAGGCTTTCGTTGCAAACCTATACGTCACAGACATCTATTTCACCTAAACATATCAATAAAGGGGGTAGGGCCCTACCGTAGAAGTGTTTAACTTGTGCATTGAACATGCTTTCCACGACATTGAACCAGACAAAAATTGAAACCAATAGTGCACCTGAAAGCGGTTTGGTACCCAATCCCTCATGTACACTGCATGAAGGTACATGCAGACGACCCCCGGGTGGAGTGATTTTGAAAATCTATTGTGATCATGCGACGCTTCATGGGTATTCGTAATTCGTACAGAAAACATGCACAACAGTCATGGCAATGGATTTTTCTGGAGAATCACCACCAAAATCATCCATAAATTTCATATTTAGCCCTTAGTGTTTGAGGTTGATAATTAGCTTGCAGGGTGGGGGTACGAGTGAAATTTCGCTCGTACCCCCCGCCCTGCAAACAGGACGCTGGGATACTCTGATGAATACTCTGATTGGTTGGATTTTGTGCGACCAGTGACCTGCGCGTCATCAAGGTCATGACTCTGCAAGGTTTGAAACGGCCGTTAAGACTGATTCATTACTCTTTTATTCCAGTTTAGAGATTTTTTTTCTCATTGAAAAGCGTAATAAGGTAGCAAATTTTGTAAAACTTGTCGGTGTTGTAAATTTAGAATTCCCGTCACTTGTTCAGGCTCCGTTTCGAATCACGAACAGTCGGATTGCATTATGCGACGCTCCAAATTTTGTCCACGTGGTCCGCAATGAAACAGAAATCACATCCGGTATGGAATGCGCGCATTTCTATAAAAAGTTTTCAGATAGCATTTGTTGACATTGTCTAACTGCGGTCTTGAACAGCTGCAGCCAGATGCTTTATACATAGGTCATAGGCCACTTCCTTCACTAGATTCTGTGAAGCTCATCAGAGTATCCCAGCATCCTGTTTGCAGGGCGGGGGGTACGAGCCAAGAGTGAAATTTCATTCTGATTCACGAATTATATGCTACAGTGGCCCCAAATTAACAATGCGATTTCACGCGCAGTCAAGTAGCAAAAATGTACACGTTTATTTCTATATGCTTGATCAATTTGCCATTAATGCACGTATAGTCAGACTCCCTTATCACAGCGTCTCTATTGTAGCAGCTTGGGACATTTCTCTTTTTCTGTTGCCAAAATGGTGACTCAAATATGCAAGTGCGTGAGAAATATTTCGTTCAAGTTTGCAATTTCTTTTTACAAATTAATACAGTTTTAAGGTACAATGCAACAATTTAACAGAGTGTGTAATTGACACAAAATGATTGATCACACCAGAAACAATTGTAAGATACAAACATGATGTATTTTGATTTATAGAACCAGAATACAATTACGTCTACTCCATCAGGTTATTACTTGCGTAAAGGAAAATTCTCAAGTTATTTTTATGAGTATTATTTACTGATAACAGATATAAATGAAAAACAGGTACGTGTACTAACATAATCTGCTTATCGGTTATTTGAAACTTATTGATTTTCTTTCAATTGAAATACTTCATTAAAACGTCAAATGCAGCGTATAAGTCACAGCAAGACACATACTGCAAATTTGACATCACTAAATTTGACATGACACTAATTAGATATATATCCAAATATGTCAGAAGTTTCTTTTTCCACATTTGGTAGACTTCATTTTCACTCAGAACGGATACATAATCCTGAATACAGTTGTGCATGGAACCCATCCCCCTCAACAGTAACTGCTTTACTTGCAGTTTTTTAAGTAGTCTTCACAACAAAATTTATACAAAATATAAACAGTATGTAAAATAAACGTTTCTTTTATTACAATTTTGATTACATTATTGACAGAATTATTACCAATACTCTAGTTGGTAGTTGGAGTAATCCCAAAAGCACTCAATACTCAAGGTTTCAAGTTTTTTTATACAAAGACTATAATTATCAGGCCAATAAGTCTATAAAAATATAATTCTATTTACAAAAATGAACATGTATTTGTCATCTGTGGTTGGATCCCAAAACTACTCAAAGGATACTCAATGTTTTACCATATGTATAACTGGAAGCTTACATGGCGGATGAGATAAAGTAGAAAGATTGCGGGTAACACCATGGAAAGAAATCTCTTCTCTGAGGACGGACAGAGCAGACTGTCCAAGCGTTGAGTTCTACTCTCAAGCAATGAGTTCTTTTCAGAACCACACTTCTTCCAAGAAGTGATTACATGGTGTTACCCGCAATTTTTCTACTTCATTGCTCTAACGTTGTACATAAACACAATTGTTGTCGGGCCAACAAGTTTCAACGTGTGAAGGAAATGGACCAAAATTAACCACCCATACAGCCTCAGTGTTTGATAAGAAATCAATGAGTACCATACATCTGCTAGGTTTTCAAATCAGTATGTTTTATCATGGACACGCGTACAGATTTGAAGTCTTTAATAATTTTGTTTGCCAATTTAAAATGTTTGCAGATGTTCAATCGGCAAATCATAAACTCTTTAAAAATTCCCGGGTCAAATTTGACGCCTCCAGGTCAAAATGACACTTCTCCGAGTCATTTTTCCTGCTATTTGACCCAGACAATTGTCATTTTGACCCAGAAGTGTGTCAGGTCCAATCTGACCCGGATTACGGGTCGAATCTGACCCGGATTACGGGTCGAATCTGACCCGGATTACGGGTCGAATCTGACCCGGATTACGGGTCGAATCTGACCCGGATTACGGGTCGAATCTGACCCGGATTACGGGTCGAATCTGACCCGGGACTAATTATAAGATAGTGTCAGTTTGACTTTGATTACAAATCACTGTGTCATACGTAGAGGCTGAACGGTTAAATTGCCTAACACGCAGTGCGACGTTTGTACCTATTGATGATCTGAATCGAGAATGTTTCAACTGGCAACACGCATCCTGGAATGCCCTCTGTTTTTGCGTAAATTCCGATTTCATAGTGTTAATTATTGTTTTAGCAAAAAGGTTGACATTTACTAAATTTGTTGTATTGTTGCTGGGACAAATATTTTGTGTGGTAAATGTGGCTGAGAAGAAAACAAATCCCAGTTTCCACAAAACTTTTACCTAAATTTAAATTCCGTAATTATGTTTAGCACACCCTAAAATTCTGATTTTCCCCATCACTTTTTAATATTGTCTTGTCAAAAAAAGCCCTCCTCTTTCATTGCAAATGTTAACATTCGATTTCAGTCAAAATTAGTACACAAAGTAGCTATTGGACGGTGGCAAGTAGGACTTTAACTTATCAAATAGTTCCTGGTTGTCACCAATGTGCAAGGTCAGAAAGGGCATGTCCGGCATAAACACGGCAAGAGGTCTACAGTCTGACGGTTTGAAGTTGCAATTGCTCAGGTCCAGCATCTTTAAGTGCCTCATCTTGAGCAATTCCTTGGCACACAACTCAGCTGATTTGCTCAATGCTTTGTTGCCACCAAGGATCATGCCAGCCAGTTCGGGCATGTTGCCTACAGCCGAGGCAATGTGTTTAATGTCTGTCGTTGTCAAATCGCAAAAGCTCAGGTCAAGCCTATTTAATCGCAACATTTTCGGCAATTCCTTGGCCCACTTCTTAGCCGATCTGCCCAGTGCTTGGTTGCCAGCAAGGTTCAAGGCAGTCAGTTCGGGCATGTTACCTACAGCCGAGGAAATGTGTTCAATGTCTGTCGGTGTCAAATCGCAAAAGCTCAGGTCCAGCCTATTTAATCGCAACATTTTCGGCAATTCCTTGGCCCACTTCTCAGCCGATCTGCCCAGTGCTTGGTTGCCAGCAAGGATCATGTCAGTCAGTTCGGGCATGTTACCTACAGCCGAGGCAATGTGTTCAATGTCTGTCGGTGTCAAATCGCAAAAGCTCAGGCTCAGCCTATATAATTGCCACATTTTCGGCAATTCCTTGGCCCACTTCTCAGCCGATCTGCCCAGTGCTTGGTTGCCAGCAAGGATCATGTCAGTCAGACTGGGCATGTTACCTACAGCCGAGGCAATGTGTTCAATGTCTGTCGGTGTCAAATCGCAAAAGCTCAGGTCCAGCCTATTTATTTGCAACATTTTCGGCAATGCATTGGCACACAACTTAATTGATCCACCCAACGCTCTGTTGCCACCAAGGATTATGTCAGTCAGACTGGGCTTGTAATATACAGCCGAGGCAATGTGTTTAATGTCTGTCGGTGTCAAATTGCAACTGCTTAGGTCTAATTGTGTCATTTCCGGCAATTTCTTGACCCACTTCTCGGCCAATCCGCCCAACGCTGTGTTGCCGGCAAGGCTCAATTTAGTCAGCGCGGGAATGTGGTTCACCACAACGGAAATTGTATCAACATCTTTCCACGTTAGTGAGGAATTGCTCAGGTCCAGCGTGTGTTTTTCCTTCACTCTAAACAAGTAACGGGACCACTTCTCAGTTGATGCGCCAAGTGCCGGGTTGTCAGTGAGGATCAAGTTAGTCAGTCTGGGCATGTCACTTACAGCCAAGGCAATGTTTTCAATGTCTCTCCATTGCAATGTACAATGACTCAGGCTCAACGTCTGTATATTCGTAAATCGCAACAAATTCTTGGTCCAATAGTCAGATGACTCACTCAAGGATGTGTTGCCGGCAAGGCTCAAATTAGTCAGTGTGGGTATGCCACTTATAACCGAGGCGATGTGTTCAATGTCTGTCCATTGCAATGTACAATTGCTCAGGTTCAACGTCTGTATGTTTGTATACTGCAACGAGTTCTTGGCCCACATCTCAGCCGATCCACCCAACGCTGTGTTACTGGTAAGGTTCAAGATAGTCAGTGCGGGAATGTGGTCTAACACAATGGAAATCGTATCGATATCTTTCCATGTAAGTGAGGAATTGCTCAGGTCCAGCGTGTGTTTTTGCTTCACTCTGAACAAGTAACGGGACCACTCCTCAGTTGATGCGCCAAGTGCCGGGTTGTCAGTGAGGATCAAGTCAGTCAGTCTGGGCATGTCACCTGCAGCCCAGGCAATGTGTTCAATGTCTGTCCATTCTAATGTACAATTGCTCAGGTTCAATGTCTGTATGTACGTAAACTGCGACACATTCTTGGCCCACCGTCCAGCCGATCTGCCCAACTCTGTGTTGTCAGTGAGGATCAAGACAGTCAGGCTGGGCATGTCACTTACAGCCGAGGCAATGTGTTCGATGTCTGTCCATTGTAATGTACAATTGCTCAGGTTCAATGTCTGTATGTACGTAAACTGCGACACATTCTTGGCCCACCGTCCAGCCGATCTGCCCAACTCTGTGTTGCCGGCAAGGCTCAAGTTAGTAAGTGTGGGCATGTCACTTACAGACAACGCAATGTGCTCAATGTCTGTAATCTTAAGTTTGCAGTAACTTATTTCAAGTTTGTTGAGGCTTGTCAAGTGTTTGATATGAGGGGCCCATTCTATAGCTCTACCCCCCAATGTACTGTCCCACTTTATGCACAAATTGGTCAAGAGTTTGTGGCATTTCAGTGACATTAGGGTTTTCTCAAGATCACCCGTCACTAAAGGACAACTGTAGAGCCTCAGATTCCTGAGGTTTTCCATGTAACCCAGGGCGACGGCTAAATCACTGACCGAAGACACGCGAGAAACCTCAATAGTTTCAACGCGTGCCAGTTGTGCCGTGCGGCTCTCAGAACTACTGATGATTTCAAGAAGGTATATGAGACTGCGGAAATCATTATTGTTGTCCACCTTGATAGTTGAAGGGATCTGCGAGTCTCTGGTGAGACACTGTGGGGGATTTTTTGATTGGCTTTCAAAAAAGCAGTTTCGACTAATCACTTGTACTACTTCTGATTGGTACCTGGGCTCATCCTTATTGAACTTACTGTCAAGTAAGTTCACGATATGGGTCATGCACCTTTCATTATCACCACAACAAAAACGAAAGAGAAAATCATTTGAAACAACGTCCTTAAGTTTTGAACACATTTGCCTCAACTTGTTCTGAAATGTTATTTTCTTCTTCCAACGCGTAAGAAATCTGAGGGTTGGGATTGTCAAACTCTGCAAGTATTTCGCTGCACAGTATTCCTGCATAGTTTTGTGCATGAATTGTATGTTGTTGTGGGATTTGCGGTTTTTGATAACTCTGGCTTTGGTTAGGATGCCCGCTTTCAGTGCCAGGTCCAGCGCAATCGGTTCAAACTCATTTTCTTGAAATGAAAATCTCTTGTTGGCATTCATGAGTCCATTCAGCGCAGTTTTTCCTATGGCAATCACTGTTTCCGATGCATCTTTGATATGCGTTTTACTTGTGAACATGTGCTCAACTGCCTCAGTGAAAAGACGTGAAGTTGTTTCTGGGAGTTGTTTACTCTCCCTCCACAACAAGCACATGAGAAGTAGCAGCATCGGATTCGTAGAGAACTCACTTAGTATGTTGGACTTGCGAATGGTTTGGATTAGCGCACTGCCACTATCATCAGGATCTTCGTCATAGAATTTCTGAACGTATTCATTAACATCCTCGTCAGCAAACCCCAGAACCTTTACATGTGTGCAAGGATTTTCTACAAGTGTTTTTGACATCAGTGTCTCAAGATGAGAGGGGCGTGTGGATACGCAGATGAAACATTCCCGGTATTTTGTTCTATTGAGTGCTTTTAGGATAGAACCGAATGAGTCAGCATCGAGTGTTTTAGTCTTCATTTCATCAAAACCATCCAAAAGAATCAAGACCTCATTTGGGTTGGCCAGGATGAATTGATCAAGTTTATCTTTTGCTATTCCTGAATCTTCATCTAGAAGTTGATCGAAAGCTGAATCAACAAGGTTGGATTTTTGCGACAGGGCACACATCTCTAAAAGAAAGACAAGCTTGAATCCATTCAGAATTTCGTTTGCCTCATCGGCCCAGTCGTATGCAATCTTGTCAAAAATGGTTGACTTCCCGACACCTCCCATGCCAAAGAAAATGAGGCGTTTAATGAGTTCCCCAGTTCTTGTCCTTAATCTGAATATTTTGGCATATTCTGTTGAGTTTACAGTTTCCCCTTTCTTACCAGTGACATCTGCTACCCCTTCCCGTGTTTCTAACTGTACTTTAGTGTATATACCAGCTATGTGCCTTTGGTCATCATCAACCTTAGGTGACAACTGTACGTAACTGCCTGTTGTTTTATAAAGTATCTTTAAATTGTCCCTAGTCTTGTTACCAGCTTCTTGGCAGGGATCCATCAACCTTGGTTCTTGGTCTGGCCTCTGACTGTGCTGGGGTCTGGGTGCTGGCACTCCTATTTAGATCAAAACAAACAACAAATTGCTTCAATAAAACAATGTGTCTGAAACAGATTGAACTGTTTTTTCTATGGAGAAAAACATGTAAAGGAAATTAATGGATTTCCAGCCCGGTAGAAAAGCAGTGCACAAAATAAATCTGCGCAAACATAAATAAATGAATGTTTTGGCTATTGTACTGCTGTTGGACACAAACTTGTCCACTGTTGTCTTATAGTATAAAATGCAATTTTTACACCGATAAAAATGCAAAAAGCTGGTACCTGCAGGTGTGCAAAAAAGTTGATTGGCCATCATTATCCCAAGGTTGACTAACATAATAACAATAATCTTTTTGCCAATTCCTTAAACCCCAAACAAGTCATATATTGTTTTTTCAATTCATGTATAAACGCAAAATTAAGATGCGACTTCAATAAGGTTCTGTTAGCCTTTTTTTCAGATATGACAAACATACTCAGGGGCGTTATCTTCATTGGCAAGCGTACATAGAGGAAACAATATATATAAATAGATGGACAATATATTGTCCATCTATTTATATATATTGCAATACATTAGTTAGTTTCTGTTTCTTACACTTAAACTTGTCACGTGTTGTGCAAGTTCAAAATACTGTGAGAGGCGTAAATAAACGTATTTAGTTGGACAGCAGCACCCTTTGGTGATAAAAACACAGTCATAGGTGATGTTCTAGCCACTGACATTTTTTTGTAAGTATGAATTTTACTCCAAACTTTTATCAGAATAGTAAAGGTCGCAGGAAAAGAAACTGAAAAAAATCCACAGAGTAATTATGCTTAAATCGCACTGTATAAGGAAACCCTATGCAAATAGATGGACATGTACCACACAGACACCCATCTGCAATCATCACCACCAATAGCGATCTGACCACATTTCACAGGTCATATCTGTGTTAAGTCCTTCACTTTTTAAAAAACAATGTTTTTTTTCCCACCTAGTGCGCCACGTCAACTTGGTCTCAAATTAGCTGTAATTGGTTAAGTAATGAATACCTGAAGCTTGTGTGGAAGGAATGGGTGAGGGACTTGGGCTAGATGGATTGGCATTTGGCGAAGACGTGGCGACGTCCCCTATTCCGGTAGCACCTAAATAAAACAGACGAAAAGGTAGTAACTGCTGGTGAAAAGATTATCCCACGAAAACCAACTACGATAATCACTACACTCCAAATAAGCAATATCTCATTCGTTCAATTCTGATTGAAAATCATCTTTGCCCAACAGCTCACGATCCTAACTACGTGTGAATAATTCTTCAAATTTTGCCGAGCAATCTATTCATTTATATACAAGAGGAAAATTAATGTGCGACTCAATAAAGAACTTTTTAGCCTTTTTGTTTTAAAAGCTTATGAGCCTTTTTTATATATGGCAGAAACACAATGCGGAGGGAGGTACAGTGTACACATTTGAAGTTTTCAATACTTTGTCAATTGAAAATGTTTGCAGATGCACAATCGGCAAATCATATACACTCTAAAAAGTCCCGGGTCAGATTGGACCCAAATCCAGGTCAGGTCTGACCTGACACACTTCTGGGTCAAAATGACACTTCATGATCTCCTTCCGAGTCAATTGACCCGAGGTATTTGTCATTTTGACCCAGAAGTGTGTCAGGTCAAATCTGACCCGGACTCCAAGTAGAATCTGACCCAGACTTTCAAGAGTGTAAGTATGACTTTGATGGCAAACCACTTTGTCATTATGTAGAAGGTGAACATAATTTGACCTGACATAATTGTCATGTCGACACAGACAATTGTCATTTTGACATACCACGCACACAATGCAAAGAGAGATTTATAATTTATGCAAGTAACATAATTCTTTTTTACATTGCCCAATGAGCAAAGATATGTATTTACCATTCAGAAATCCAGCAATATCTGCTCTTCCTATGTTCTTCAATGCTGTGTACAACGTGGTCATCTGCTGTTCATCACTGATGGACTGGGCATGTTTCCATGTTACAAGCATTTCCAGACCCTGCCTTATGATGTCGTTTTGGTATTTCGTCTCAATAGTCTCAACCTGTATTGTCGTAAAGCCCAGTTCCTTAACTGCCAGTGTTATCCATGTTTTAGCAAGCCCCTCAGCGACCTTGAGCAGAGTTTTGTCATCTAGATGTGGTTCTGAACAAAATGATAACAATAGGTATACTAAGATTTACTTAGCCTTGGTCAAGGCGCTAGTTGTTTTTTATCCGGCCGTAGCGCGGTAATGCATGCAGTCATAATGTCTATGCGCTATGCATGCAGTACAGTGCATTAAAAATACAGCGCGAACAGCGACCTCACGCGGCCACTATTTTTTTGCAAATCAGTTGGACCCAATATAGCACCTTGGTTCAATCGTCCATGTGAGGGAAACTTGCTTAGTAAAACGTGGCACCGTACATAATCCATACATGTACACGTACGGGTTATGTGTCTCTGCACACGGCACCAATGCACAAAAACTGTGGTTCCTGTCACGTCCGCAAAAGGCGAATAGCTAGCTGCAAACAATTTGATGACGTCCGGATTTACCAAGGTGTGATTGGACACTCCGCCTCCACTTATCTGTATTCGCATACGAGGTCGGTGCTAGAAATCCAGCGCAAAATAAAGAAAAACATAAGCTTTTGCCGACGATTGAACCAAGGCGTGATATTTTGCAACTAATTTGCATAGAAATGGTGGCCGCATGAGATCGCTGTTCGCGCTGTATTTTTAATGCACTGCATAATGCATGGCCCTAGCGAGGATATCGTTTACGCGCCACGGCCGGGATGAATAACATATAGCGCCTTGACCAAGGCTAAGATTTACTATGGAAATCACGCTCGATAGACCAAACACTAATAACCAGAGCTACACTGAAAAATTGCCTGGGTTAATTTTACCCAAGCAAGGGTGAAAATTGCAAGTACCCAAAACTGGGTTGTCTTTTAGGCCTACCCAATAGTTTTGGGTTATAAATAATAATTTCTGTTAAATTCAAACAAAAAGTTGTGGTCATTCCAAAACTAAATTTAATTTGGTCTTGTATGACCACAATTAAGTTTTGGTTGAATTTAAAATTCTTACCCAAACAGTTGGGTAAAAGACAACCCAATTTGGGGTAATTGCAGTTTTCAGCCTCGATTGGGTAAAATTAACCCAGGCAATTATTCAATGTATCAGGGTTTCTGGCTGCCAACTTGCTGACCTGACGCAAAAACATTTGACCCCTCCCTCCTTAATTGACCCCAAGCATCTGGTCTAGCTCCTACTCACCTGTTGCAGCTGAAGGGGTAGGTACCTGAGCCTCCTGATGCATCGTGGTACTTGTACCTGTAGGGACATCAGTCCGTTGGCTGACTTCTTTAGATTGTGCATCCATGGTACTTTGCATCTCCTGCCCAATGAAAAAAAATCCTGTACATGTATGTCAACAATGAATGAAAAGTTGTGTCACATTTTGCTCTTGGTAGGTTAACATGTGAATACTTGTTACAGAGTTTTCACTAATTAAAGACCATTGGAAAACAAACACAAGGAAAGACAAAACTTAATTGTTAAAATGATCTCAGAGTGCACTAATCCTATTCACAACTGACGCAGAAAGCTAGGCTATAAAGATCGTGGAATTAAAATTGTGGTCACGTGACAAAAGAAAAAAAAATCACTTTCGCTGTTCGCATGGAGTGCTGCCAGACTGCATATGTGACATACACGACATAAAAGAGCAAGTCTCGTAAAATTGCCCCAAGACAAAGACCAGAGTCAGTCACAACTCTTATTGACTGTCACAAATGAGATAATTACAATATACAAAATGTACAACAGCAAAACGCACTAATAGTAATAGGTAATTCAGCATTTACTATATAATCCATGAAACTGAAGAAAAAAGTTAAACCATTGCTGTAGCCAAACTTACAGTTAAGTTCAGAGCAGGTTGATTCACAGACATCCAAGACAACACTGACGCACTGCAGCTGCTACGCCCACCAATCTCATGACCACTTGACGGAACTACATTATGCAAATTAATCTCAGGTTCAGTCTCCTTATATGGCGTCAACTCAAACTTTACGAGTTAATAATTAACAAACAACTTCAATATTCTGTCACATGCAAGCGGTTTGCTTCGTATGAAATAAACCATGTATTTCAATATTTTTATATCTAAATATGAATATAATAATTATACCATAATCTTAATTAAAAAATGAAATGCTGTATGTTTTAAATCCTGACAAATCGCGCAGCGATATAACAACCCCATTTGTCCTAGCTAGTATACACAAATACACCTGGGTTTCCCCAAATTGTTCCTAGGTTCCCACTGAAGTGTTTTGTTTTAGTGTACGTGCCGTACATGATGCAAAGATGTACAAAGTTGACAAGTCAGTAGGTGACTTTCCTTATCAAATGACCCGATTTTCAAGTGTTTACAAGTGTTTACAAGTGTTATTCTTAGCTCGATCAGCATCTATTCAATGCGAATTAGTTACTCTTTGAGCCTTTAGTCAACACAGACGTGGATAGACCTACGTACCTCGGTATAATACAACATGCAATACGGCAATGGTAGATTGAATTGCTATATATACCAGGCATGCAACTGGTAAGTCACAAAAAAAAGGACATTCAAATCTGTCCAAGACTTTGTACAGTGTTTTTCTATTTTCAATGACACAAATGGGAGGTCAAAAAAGAAAGAAATCAGCCGATCTGCGGAAAAGTTGCATGCCTGATACAAATTGTATTTTGTGGTATTTTAATACCGGCATTATAAGAAGCTATGCAATTCCCCTGTTAGACCAAAATAATGCTGAAATAATTACTTGGAAGTAGGCCTACCTCCTGGAACTGTCACACTAAATGTCTGGACCAATAAAAAAGGCATCCAACATTTAATTCAGTAGCAACCATTTTAATAGCGAATCTGAGAACCTGATAAAATTGTTCAAAATATGTTGCTTAAGAAAATTACTAACCCAA